CGTTCTTTGCATGGTTTTCACCAACTCCCGGTACAGGTTGGTTCCTCTTTATGCAAAACCAAGGCTGTCTTTGATAAAAACACCCCTTTTTTGGAGCTGTCGGTGCTCAGGGCTCCCTGTGCAGCCGGAAGGAGCCCAGACAGGCCCAGCCCCCAGCGGATTTGAAGTTTCCAGTCTGCTTAACCGTGCCCAGTATCACCCAGTTCTGCCCAGGGGGTGGTTGGGAGGTCAGGTCCCAAGAGGAGATTAAACTGCTCTGAACAAAGCTTAGTCCTGAGCCATCCTCTTAGATTTCTTTTCTCTCCCAGGGAGCCTTGGAGGAGGATTCCAGCACATCCCAGCTCCTTGGAGCAGCAGGAACTGGAAAAATGAGACCCCGGTGGTGCAGCTTCTGCTGCCAACCAGCTGTGGAAAGGGGAAGAGGAGGTGTCATGATCCACAGTGGGTGATAAGGGCAGCTCTGGGGAGTGTTTCCTGCAATGAATGGAAAAAACTTCCTCCTTTGCCCCAGTTTTTTTCCCTAAAAGGAGGAAGTTCCCTGGTCCCAGTCTGTCCAGTCCTGGCCTGGCAGTGGTGCTGAGGCTGGGCTGGGAACAGGGAAGGCCACTGTTTTTTTGGGGAATGGGGTTGCTGAGAGCTTGAGGGAGGAAAAGAGGGGGGAAATGTGGGATTAAAATGAAAATTCCCATGGGGATGTGGGGTTGAGTGCTGGGCCAAGCCTTGCTGCAAGGGGCTCAAAGCACTGCTCTGCTCCATGTCTTTAGGGTGATTTCCCAAAAATCCACTGCATTATGCTCCAAGAATTCTCTGAACTCCTTGTCTGCTGCCACCCTGATTTGAGAGGGCTGGAGGGGTCTCAAAATATTTAATTCTGACAGGCAGAGCTGGTGTGGTGGAAAGGAACAACCCCTCAGGTGCCCCGAGGGCAGGAAGCAGCAGGAGCATCCCGGGGTGCAGTGAGTGCCAGCTGGGGTCGTGTCGGGGTGACTGCCCAGGATTCAAAGTGAGGAAGTGGAAATACTGTGAAATAAAATCAGAAATACTTTACCAACTCAGAGCCCTGGGTTGGGCCCTGCTTATCAGGGCTGGATTGCTGAGATTCTGATACAGGTGGTTTAGCAGAGAGGCCCGGAGGGTGGAGGGGGTGGAGGATGTTTAATGCACGAGAAACTGGGCAAAACTGGGCGAAACTGGGCACTGAGGTGAGAGGTGGGGTTGGGTCTGTGCCCTTCAACCCCCTTGCTCCTGTGCCAGCTGTGACAGGAGGGGGGAGCCAGGTGGGGATTGGGCTCTGCTCCCAGGGAACAAGGGACAGCACGAGAGGAAACAGCCTCAGGCTGTGCCAGGGGTGGTTTTGGTTGGATAGTGGGGAAATTCCTTCCTGGAAAGGGCTGCCCAGCCCTGGCACAGCTGCCCAGGGCAGGGGTGGAGTCCCCATCCCTGGGGGGATTTAACAGCCCTGTGCATGTGGCACTTGGGGACATGAGTTAGTGGTGGCCTTGGCAGTGCTGAAGGAAAGGTTGGACTAGATTGTCTCAGAGGTTTTCCCAACCTAAATGATTCCATGATTCTGTGAAACGCTCCTGGATCCACTCCCTGACCTCCACCCTGGATCCCAAGTGAATCCAACCTGCAAATGCTGCAAACCACCCTTGGGTTTATTTTATCTCATCTTTGTTTGTTTAAAACTTTAAATCTCGCATGGCCTCACGAGCAAACACCTGAACCTGTGCCGATCTCACAGCAGGTATTTTCCTTATGGGTAGAGCACCAGCCGAGCAAACAAATCAGTTTTGCCTCTCCAAGACAAAATTCCATGGCCTGGGGAGGTTTGTTTGGATTAAAAACCCATCAAAATAAGTGAGGTGGCATTTGCAATGTTGGAGCTCTTTGGGGTGGGAAAATCAGGGGGAGAAGCAAGTTTGGGTCTCCCTCAAAGCTGTGGAAGCCATGGGGGTGCTGCTGGGGAGGGAGGGGTTGTCACTGCACCATCCTGTGCCTAAATCTGCTCTGCAGAGAGTCCCAGGGAAGGTGTCCCCTTGGCTTGTCAGCCCCTCCCCTGGTAGCTGTGGTGCTTCCAGGCTGAGCCACTCACCTTCCCAGAGGGATTTTTGGTTGGTTTTCATGTGACTCGTCCCTTTCTCTCCATGTGTGACAGGGAACAAGCTGCTGCTAGGGCTTTTCCCCCTGAGGATCCCTTTGCCTCGGGCCCCAAGGAAGGCAGAGGCCCCAGCAGGTTGGGGATGGGGTAAGACCTCCCCTTGACCCCTCGGAGGTGCCCCTGGCCCGGCCCGAAACGGCCCCTCCCTGTTCATGCAGGGTGGGGGGCAGTGGAGGGGCAGGTGATGGTCCCCTCCCTCCAGGACCCTGCAGGGGCTGAGGAAGGGTGGAAAGGAAGGACAGGGACATTGACTGTGCTCTGGCCTTGCTTTGTCCTACTTTTTTTTGCCAGAAGGAAACTTTTCAGGCTGATGTTGGTGCATCAGGAGCTCTCCCTTACCTGGGCTGCAGGTGAACGTCACAGCTGTCCAGGGAGGGATGGGGAGGAAGTCAGAGCTTCCGTCTGGATCACACTCTCTTTGTGCTGTCACATTCCACGGAATCACAGAATCACAGAGTGTGCTGAGCTGGAAGGGACCCACAAGGATCATCCAGTCCAACCCTCAGCCCTGCACAGGCCCATCCCTGAGTCACCCCCTGTGCCCCAGAGGATCATCCAAACCCTCCTGCAGCTCTGGCAGCCTTGGGGCTGTGCCCACTGCCCTGGGGAGCCTGTTCAGTGCCAACCACCCTCTGGGGGAAGAACCTTTTGCTGAGATCCACCCTGAGCCTGCCCTGACACAGCTCCAGCCATTCCCTGGGGGCTGTCCCTGCTC